AAAATATTTGGAACGAAGTTGGGCGCGAAAACTTTGCTCCACTTCGTTCCAACTTTTTGACAAGCCTCTCAACGTATTTGGAGCACTTTCCAAAGTACCCTTGCAGAGGCACGCGAGGGCTGCTGCGTCTGCACCACGAGTGCCCCTCACCGTAGAAAGTCAGCTAGGGTTGTGTGTGGGTCATGGCCGACCGTAGAAAGCGCGGCGCGCCTACAGATTCGAGCGGCTCTCCTCGCCCACGGGCACGCGCAATACAAAAAAAAAAAACGGCGGTCCGCCATGATGGCTTGCAGTTGTTGCTTCGCGTCCGCCGCTTTGTTTTTTCCTTTTCCCGGGGGGGTAGGAGCAGTGGTTGCCACCCCTCGCCGGCGGAGTGTTGGTGGCGGCAGCGCCTCCCGTGGTAACATGAGTGTTCCCCGAGATGCCAGGCAGCAGCACTATCTTGCTGGAGAGCAAGCCTCCACCGCCTACGGCGGCACCGAGAGAGCCCGTCTGCTGGAATTTCGCCGGGGTTTTGGTCTGCCGGCCACGCTGGGTGGTCGTGATATCCAGGTCGGTGTCCATGATGTCGTGTTTTCCGCGGTTTGTGTTGTGTCGTCTGTGTTGTCTCGAAGTGAGCGCTACAACTCACGGACGGCGTCATTTTTTTTGGCACAAGTTGCACAAGTCTACGTTACACGTTTAAAATGACTGCACACAGGTTCCAAGTTTTTTAAAGACAAATGTCCAAAATTTTGACAAAAAAGTCGGTCCTAAGCTATGTTTCTTATTAACCCTATTTTCATATTTTTCGTGAAAAAGTGAGCCTCAATTTCTTAACAAAATATTTCTTAACTAACTGCGGGCGCCAACTGTGACAACCTATGGTCCATGACCTTAAAAAAAAAGGGTTGGACGGTAACTGAGATTCTCCTTCTAATTTCAGCATAAATTGGAGGTAGACTTGTGACGTGTTGTTTTGAGGAAGCTGGCGGGTCTCATTCTACGCAGGCGTGCATGGCACATGCGGGGACGGATCAGGACAGGGCCCTCTCCACAAGCCCTTCATCGTACACCCATCCGATTGCTCGAGCGTCTACTGGACTCGCACTCGGCGTGCGCTCTAGCAGCATCACAGGCGGGGCTTGTGGCGAAGGAAGGAGGCCTGATCATCAACGGTGAGTCGAGAAAAACTGAAACATGACCATCGGAGATCTGGGGGGTATGGATCTAATCGTCGAGCATGCCCTCCGTGTCGCCCTCACGCTCGTCTCTCAGCGTAGGGGCAGGTAGGCCCCGAGGCCTACAGCTATCAGTGTGTAATGCTGGCTATCTCGGATAGAAGTCCGTTTGTCAAATGGTGTAGTGTACACAGAGCAATGTCCAAACTTAGCACCCACATCCGCCACAGGTCAACATCCGACCGCTTGTGCACTCTAAAATGGCCTGTTTTTGGCCTGTTTTGTCATGCGGTGCTGCACACATGGGAACGCTGTTCCCCTGCGGTCGAACAGCTGATCCCCGAAGCACAACCTCCCTAACATGGTGCGCAGCATAACCCCAGTAGAACCACCACTTAGTTGTGCACACCTTGTCATGAAGCCGCAGGCGTCTAACGCTTTAGTTGTTACTTCGTGTCTCAATGTTGCCACACACAGACCGTCTGCGACTCAAGATAACACCCCCCTCCACACCTATTCTAAAATCAACGATAGTACTTGACGACGAAGCGACGACGAAGAGGACGCAACAACGAAACGATACGTTAGCTATGAGCTCACGAACAGACG